GCCCCACTTAGCTGCCTTTTGTAGTTGTTTAACGGGGATGCAGCCGTTGGAAAGGGAAGAGCCAGTGTCTGGAAGGAGCTTGTTATCAAATGAGTTATTAGGGGAGCGCAATGAGCAAAACGCTTATGCCAATTAACCTGTGTTTTGGAGTTTAGGCAGTGTTTTTTCCCTTATGGGCGAAACCTTGTGGGTGAAATTACTTCCCAAAATAGAGCCAAGCGTCTTTCATCAAAAGATGTCCTAGAACTTCAAAGACATTAATGAATTAAGCCTCCCAACAGCTCTTTCTCTAGATAAGAGATAGAGATCGTTTCATCCATCGCAGTGAGGTGCAGAGACAGTATTTAGGGTAGGAAGGAAGGAAAAGGCATGTTCAAGTGGTGCAGCCTCCAAAGAACCTTTCTAGCCTGCATTCCTCTGGGCAAAATACCTGGTTTATATCTGCACTGCGAGAAAACAAAACAAAAAAGAAAAGATAGATGGGATCTGTTTATTCCATTTGGTTTTTAAGAGGAGATTTGGGCTGTTGAGTGTCATGGTAGAGGTATAAGGTGGCCTGGATCCTGTGGCTGGGCTGTAGATGCTTGAGCTAAGGTGCCAGGTTTGAAGTGTGGCTCTACTACAAGAAAGGGAATGTTCCTTAGAGCACCTGATTAATGCAAATCCTTGAAATACCTTGAAATAGAAAAATCAGTCTGATAAGATGATCCGGCTTTATCTGGGAATAGTCATGTGGATTCAAATGTGAACTTGCTTGGGCCTTTCTGCTTGAACCAGTGAGCTGGACTGCCTTGGTTTGCCACACTGCTTTTGATGACTCGAGCGTGTCACACGCATATTGTGAGAGCCGAGTTGCTCCCTTCCCTAGCTGCTTTGGCTCTGGTTTATGAGCCAAAGGAGAAGTTTTCATTTGTGCCGATGATCACACAAGGTTTTTACCTGTGGAAGCTTTTCAGAGAGTTGCCCTTTAGCAGCCTCATCTGTTTCTCAGCTTTATATCTCGATTGCAAAAACGCAGCCATTGCGTTGCCAGAACTAAGTCCTCTGGGAGAGTTATTTTCCCGGGGGAATTGTGCCATAGCATCAGATAACATATTGATATCTCCATACTGTGTAAAACGTGCTGTGCCTTGTCTGAATCTCTATTTTCCAGCCTTGATTCGACGTTTTCTATTTGTCTGCCTGGAAAAGAGGATAAGTTCGTGTTCCTTCCTCTCCTTCCTCCACTCTTCCATCTTCTCCCTCATTCTTTTTTCTTTCCCCTTTTGCTGTGATTTAGCTGGATTCTGTCAAAGTTCTGACAGTAAAGTTTGTGGCAACTTGGAGATCAGACAGGAATCTGATCTTCACGTTCCTTTTTTGAAGCAGACTCATGTGGTACGTTGTAAACTGCCAGGAGCACTTGCTAATTTAGTAGTTAATGACAGTCACAGAGACTGTTTTTCTTGCCCCTGGAGAGGTTTTAGACACAGCTGGGGTAGATTTGCCACTATCAATTATGCACAATTTTAAACAAGAATTGGCCAGCAGGGGCCTCTTTTTTTATAGAGTGCAGAGCGTGAAGAATGGGAAGATGGCAGCTGGTACCTGCCTATGGGGGAGAAGATATATAGGACTCAAGAAAGTATGGAAAAGATTAATAGCCTACTATTTTTAAAGTTGCAGCTTCAACTTAAAAGTTTAAATGCCGCAATAAAAGTGGTCCAGGAATTTTTTTATTTTTTTTTACATCAAGCATGTTAGCTTTCTTGCAAAACTTGCCCTGGCCCCAGTGAAGCCACGGGCACATCTGTAGCATCTGTGCCTGGCCCTTGCCTGTCTTTAAAAGCCACCCAGGGAGGCAGGATTTTGCCTTGGATGTAATACTGCATTCTGATTTCATCCTTAAATGAAGGTGTGAATGCAACTGGGTTTAATGGTGTAGGGCAGCTTCCATGGGCAATAATTACACAGAAGAGCTTCGCTCTGGGCTCCACTCCACTAGTGACAACCCAGAGCAACTCCAGGGAATGAATGACAAGCACGGGAGGCTCACCTGGGTAAATAGCTCAGATCTAGAGCCGTCAGTAACGCAAGTCATCCATCCTGGGCAGCCTTGATGTTAAGTTACAGGACAAAAAGCTGGGGAAGGCCAGGGCCTTCTCAGAGCAGACCTTGAGCAGGGACACAATGAAGGTGTCACCAGCACTATTACTTTACTGGAAAATAATCTCACTAATGTGTCTGAAGGCTGGAATAGGTGAGTTCAGTGATTAAAAATGCAGAGAGAAAGAGGCAGGATTCTGACACAGGGTTTTTTTGTTGTTGGAGTTTTCCTTTTAACGTTTTTGCTTGTGGCTTTATTGGTTGTGAAAGTGAGCTGACAGGACCGGACCTTCCCTCACATCCCTCTCGTGGGAGCAAGAACAAAGCAGGGGCAGCAGAGCTCTGCTCATGAATCACTTGGCTTCGGTCCTACACCCAGCAGCAATGTGGCTTCTCCATGGGCATCACAGGGACGTGTCCTCAGAGAGCTCAGCTGAGAGACCAGGTTATACCCACAGCCCACCGAGCTGCAACGGGAGGCTGGTGATTTGGGGCTGTCCGTAGGGAGGAATGGAGCCTGTGATGCAGGAACTCAGCTTGTCCATACGGATGCAGCCGGTCCTCCCTGGTTGTGCTCCTGGCAGTGCTGCTGATTGACGTTGTTCACCTGTTGCAGAGCTCAACTAACAGCTTGCCAGCCTGGGACGAGAAGCTGTGCTGGATGCTAATCTCGCAGTCTCGTGTAGTATCCTTTGATATGAGGCTGTGTTGCCTTGCCTTCTTGTCTACCACTTCTAATGACATCTGTTTCATATTTTCCCTTGATAGAAGTTGTGACATATTACAACATACAAAGCCTGGCTGATTCCTCACGCGGCTTTGTGGAGGGTGCATTAATATGAAAACTAATACGCTCTGCGTGTGAAAGGGGCCAAGCACTGCTTGAATCCAGGTCGCACTGGGAGCTCCTCCAGTTGTTGCTCCAAAACTGGGCCGAGGTCGAGGATACAGCCTGGATCTTAGGAGAATTTCAAGGGAAAATCTGACAGAGATATCACCTGGACGAGTCGAGGTTTGTTACTTGATCATCATTACAGCAGCGGGAGGAAGGGACGTGGGACAAGGTGCTCCTTGAGGAGCTGTATCCTATACCCGAGGCTGCTGAGAGTGTGGGCACCTAAAGAGCCTTTACTCCTGTGAGCAGGAGCCCTGGGGCCACTCAACAGACTTGGCCTGGGACATGTCTGCGTCAGAATGATAGTGATGCTTTCTAATTGGAAGTATTTTAAGTCTAGCCACTAGTTCCACGTGTGTTTTTCCCCTTTATCTCTTCTTCCTGCTTCTGAATGAGCTTAAATTGACAGCCCTGGGGAGTGAGGTTTCCTGTTATCCGTAGGAGATGCTCAGGATGGCAGGGCGGGCATCACACCTTCTGCGGGAAGGTCCCTGGGACTGGGAGCCTGTGCTGTTGCACTCTATGTTCTGCCTGTGCTGTTATACAATACATAGGTGGGGAAAAAAATCCATATTAGCAGAAATGTCTATACTCTCCCACATCTTCCCCCTACACTTTTCTTTAATGATGACACCAGACTGGCTAATAAGAAGCATCCCGCGTAAAAAAGAAGGGAATCTCAGACAAGGCTTTCAGAGTTCATTTTGTTGGCAGCTTTTTAAGTGGAGGTTTTTAGGCTCCTCTGTTTCAAACACCGTAATACTTTTTGAGCTAGTAACTATGAATTACGACAAGCTCTTGATATGCCAGGTTATAATCCTTTAGTGTTTTTGTTTATTTCAGAATATAATAGGAATCCGTATCAATTATCGTGACTGTAAATGTTGTTCCTCTCTACTAGAATATTCATCTTGAGATACATCATCAGATGTTACCTGTTCTGACAATCACGTTTTTGTGCCATTGTTGGGCAAGAGAAACAAAGAAAAACAAAATGTTAAGAGTGTAAGGGATAAAAGAGTGTTGAAACTGTTGTTCTTTCCCTGTCTTTGGAACCTCCGAGATCTTGAATGTTTTATTCCCGGCTGTTGTTTTGTTACCACAATGCGAATAGAAGTCATTATCTGTAAGCATTTGAAAAGGGAAATGATTTTCATAACTTTAAATCCTACAAAGGACTCTAGTAATCTGTTATGTGCATGCCAAGGTAGAGCTCAGCCTTTCATCTGGTCTGATCCCACCCAGTCAGTATAAAATGTTCCTTTGGTGAATGTCTAAAGCACACAGTATCTTCTGTGAGAGGCAGACAAAAGTGAAAAGAGGAAACCTGGCCTTTAAGGCAGCAGCAGAGGAAGGTGCAGAATAAAAAAAGAAAGTGCATTTGCAGCCTTCATACTTTATCTGGTTGCTAAAAGTTTATTTCCATGAGTTTTCAAAGAAAAACTTGTTCCTTGCTTTGCTTTGAAACAGTTGTAAGAGGTGATCCCTGTCCAGCCCTGGGACTCACGTCACTGTCCTAAGCACGTGGTGAGAATTTTTGCCTAAAAAATACAGAGCTAGAATGTAAAATTAACAGAATGATTGGAATGAGCTGATGAGGAGGTGCCACTTTGGGACGGGCACAATGGTTTATACAACAGTGTAACGTGACTGGATAGGGACAGGTATTTTCTGGTCCAGCATCCTCGATTCAAGTCAGGCTCTTGCATAAATGGTGGGGAATGAGTTGGCAAGTCCCACTCCATTCTCGATAGCAGAACTTCGTGGAAGGGTCTGTATCCCACATCAAAGAGCTGCTGCCTCCGTGAGCTTGGGGGCTAAATAAGACACAAGGAGAAGCAGGAGAGAGCAGAGGTGCTGGCAGCGTGCTGATCTTGCCTGGTTCCCAGTCTTGAGCGCTCCTGTCATTTCCATGTCTCTGTGTGCGCCCTTCCTCTAGCGCAAGGATTAACTCATCCTCGAGAGGTCACAAGTGCTGTTCTCATGATGTTAATGATGTTAATTAATATGTTCTCCATAGGGTATTCTTCTTCAATCTCCCCTACGAGTCTATCATGGAGCGCCTCTCTCAGCGGAGGATTGATCCAGTCACCGGGGAAAGGTTAGCACTGATGTCTCGTGTTTGACAATTTTTAAGTCTGTGAGTGAGATGAAAGTGTCAGACTTCACAGAAATCTAAGGAAGCTCGGGAATATTGTGCTCTTGCTTAGGGATTCCTTAAAAGAAAGGTTAAAAATTTCATAGCTACTCAAGTACCAACCTAGCTGCCTGCTGCAGCAAGGTCCTAGGCTCAGAATAATGCATTTTAATATCCCTGAGACTGAAACGTATAGAAGCAGTAGCTCAGTTCTTAACATATTAATGGTGACTAAATTGGTTGGTAAAATAATGCTGAGCGAGTATGTCTGAAACCTAGCCTAAATACGGATGGTTCTCACCCATTCCCCTAGGAATTTTGAAGGTTTTCCAGCTGAAGAAGTGGAAAAACTGCTGTATTTTACTTCCCCCAGCTCCTGTGGTGGCTCCATGTACTGAGAGAGTTCATAGGTTTCCTGCTTAGTGCAGCAAAGCTGTTTGTGTCACTGCAAGGTTTGGTCCTCAGATGTGGCACTTCTCTCGGCAGTCACAGCACCTTGTTTCATCAGTGACCTTCAGGTTTATTATCTCCTCCCTTGTTCTCGGGGGAGAAGTTAACAGTGAAATATCTTCCTAAATACCTGGTGGATTTGCAACTTTTTGCTTGTGGTCTGTTTTTATGATTAATGTATCAAATAGGTGCTCTTAAATGTAAAAAAGCTGTTTTACTGTTTCTGGTAATCCAGTGCATCCTGTTGAATCAAAGACAAAACCCTTAAAAATGAAGTCCATAAATATTGGACTCGTGTCAAAGCGGCACATGATTATTCAGACATTTCACTCGAGGTGTGATGCTAATTTGCAACAGCAACAGTCATTTGCCCTAACTGTTTTCTTCGTTTTAGTAATAAGCGATGTGGTTGTTCAGAGGAAATTACCAGTCCGAGGGAAATCATTCACACATCTTTGCATTTCTTATCATTAGGATTAGCCTGTTCGGTGTCTGCTCCAGTTAGCACGCTTTCTTCTTCCAAAATCTGGGGTTTATTCTTTCCAAAGTCATTGTGAATTGAATTGTTTTAAATGCTGCATCTAATCCCCAGCATTATGTTAAACCTGCACCGCTGGCCACGGCATGAAGAGGGTGGCCTGCAGCTGTGCTCTAAATCATCCTAATGTGCAATGAGCACTGAGTGCCCAGCACCGTGTCAGCTGGGTCTGTAGTGCAGCTCTCTGCAGACACCAAAACCTTGCTCCTCTCCTTGGAGGTTTTTTTTTGCTTTGTTGTTGCTGTTTTTTAATGCGTGTCAGCACTCATTCCAAAAATGTGGTTTCAGAAGAGGGGGGTAAATTGTTTTCTTCCCGAGGAACAGGAGATATTTCATCAGAAATAGTGTAACTGTGGAAGCAAATTTAAATACCTGTTTGCTAAGGCGCTTTCAGCGGTTGTTGGAAGCCTTTGACAGTATGGAAACACTTTCCGAGTACCTCTTGATCTGAAATTTCCCTGAAATCTCTGATCATTGTTTTGAAACCCAGACCTAGAAGAGGCGCTTCCCAGGTCCTGGGATAAGGAAAACCACAGGAGTTTCTTAGGCAAGAGCTGCTGTGTCCCACCTCCCGCTGAAGTGGAGGCCTTTATGTCTCCTCTCTAGGTATCACACGACATTCAGACCAGCTCCAGCTCTGGAGATCCAGGCCCGGCTCCTGCAGAACCCTAAGGACAAAGAAGAAAATATTGAGAGGCGCCTGGAAGCCTATTACAGAAACGCCAAGGACCTGGAGGAGTTTTATGAAGATGCCTTTTACATCAACGCTGACCAAGACCCTCGAGTTGTCTTCGAGTTTATAGAAAGCTGTATCATTAAACCCCTTCCACGTAAGTCCTAACTTAGGGGAAAAAACGGTTTGTCTTGTTTGGCATATGCCGTTAAATCACAATTTCAATCGTAGAATTGCAGTATGAACAAAAAATGTAAAAGGCTTCTTATGAACAAGGATGAATCTTGAAATCTCTTATGTGGACACTTAAGAAATCTCTTATGATATGTTATGAAATCTCTTATGTGGCCTTAAACTTTCCTCCTTAGTGTTTGAAGTCCTACCCCTGGCAGGTTTTCAAAAGAATAAAATTCAACCAAGCTCTGTCTGGGCTGGGTGAAGTAATGAGAGACCATCCTTCACAGGGGAACATTGAGTTGGCTTGAGAGCTTTGTTTTGTGAGCCAGGCTAAGAAACCCTGTGGCCACAAAGTTCATGTGTTTAATTTACTTATCTTTTTTTTTTTTCTGATTTTGTGATTCAGCAAGTGGCAGATTTGTCTTAAACATGTAAAACACTCCTGCAGCCGAGTTGGAATATTAAAACTGTTAGATGAGTTTGTGTCTCACTTCACTCAGTGCTGTGCATCCGAACGACCCTGTTGCCACCTGTGCATTTCCCCAGGTGCCTGCTGTGACCCCGCACACAGGTGAAGGCAGTGACAGAGCTTGCAGCTCAGTGCTGCTCTTCCCCCAGTCCAAGAGCTGTGTTTTATAGCCAGGAGAGGGACATTTTCACTCCTGCCTTAACCCAGCCTGCCCAAAGCTCTCTCAAACAGCCGTGTGCTCACTTCCAGCAGCCTTACCCTTGCTCCTAGTCTAACCCAGTGGCTGGACAGGCTCACAAGAAGACTCAGTACAGCTTAAAGTACCACCTAGAGCCCCAGAAAACAGCTTGCAGTTTGAGCCCATCGAGAACCCAGCTAAGGGTGAGTGAGGCCACTAACTTGGCTTTCCTGGGGGTAGGAGCTTCTCAGCTCGTGCCAGAGAGGCTTAAGCCCCTCAGCAACAACCCCTGCTTGTTCCTGGCCTCCCTGGGCTGTGGCTGCCTTGTGCTTTGGCTGTGGCTGGATTGGGCTCCAGGTGAGTCTTGCTGTGCCGGGAGAGCCTTGCTGAAGGCTGCGTTAGAGCCTCTTACCTGGCTCAGACTCGGGCTCTGCAAGTCCACGTCCTGGGTCGCTTCTGGCAGAGTGATTTGTTCTTGTGATTCGGAGAAACACTGATGCCTTTCTTGCATATTTCCCTTTTGTTTTTCTGTTGTTCCTTGTGTGTGTGAGATGATACTGAAAACATTGAACAGGGACTTGCCCAGGGAACTGGGAGGCACCTAAACTCGCCCCTTGAAGTCCCTGTGCCCTCTCCTTCCAAAGGCTTCAGCAGCCTTTTGTTTTCAGATCCCTTCTGTGCTCCTTACTGCTAAGTTTGGTTAAGTTTGTCCCTCTGGCTGTTGTTGATTGTGTGTTTGGGTCTCTACAAGGTGCTGCAGGGATGTGCATGCAAAATTCCCTTCTCATTCCACGTGCAGTAAATGCAGTTGAGAAGAACCCCGGCTATCCAAATGGCTCCAGTGCTGTTATGTTACATCGGACGGTTGGAGTTAAAGGTTTGGGGGGAGTCAGATGTTAGAGGCACTCAGCCCAGCGGGAACCTCCCTTCCCAGCCTCGAGGGCAGCTTTAAAAATCCTGGGATCCACAGAGTCCTGTGCACCCGCTGCTCCCGCTGCGCAGAGCCTGGCCCCGAGCCCTCCCGTAAGGCTGGGCTGGGACATTTAGAACAGCTCTGCCCGTTGCAAATGCGCTGTTGGGTCACCTCCTGGAGCAGCTGGTTCTTGTGCCACCGCTATAAAGATGTGGTGCAACACGGGTGCATAATTGGGAGGCCGTCTATTAATAATACATGGGAAGCTCATCTCGATAATATCACCTTCATCTGAGCGCCGCTACTAAATATTTTGATAGATGAAATGGGGAGAGAATGCGCTTAAATACTGTTTGCACCGCCGCGAGGCTGCAAAAGGGGCAGCGCATCTTTAATTAGACAGGTACGCCGGCTTAATTAATTTAGCCGTAAAGCCCTTTTTTCCTCTTGGCTCTTTCATCTCGACGCGGCCGCTCCATTAGTTCTGCTCCGCCGGCTCCGGAGCGAGCGGGAGGAAGCGGCCGCCTCATTGAGATGCGCTCGGCACGTCTGGGTGCCCAGGCTGGGGTCAGTGTCACCCCCCCAGGGCCCGCGGCGGCCGGGAGCGCCGGGCGCCAGGGTTAGCAGAACATGCTAATACCCGTGTAGAACTCTCCCTCGGAAACGCCGCAAAACAATTGACATTCATTTAATTACTGTAAACGAAACGGGCCCTGCATCACTTTGCATAGCAAAGCCTGTTAATACCAGAAAGGTTCAGTGGATAGGAGGAGGAATTAGGCTTTTATAATTGGAGTACAACATGTGGAAAGCAATTTGGTAAGTGCGCTTGATTTTATTAGCATCTTATTCTGGCAAAACAAATGTTAAGCAATGAGAAAAACAAGGTGAAGAGGAGCTGGTAACAACACAGCAGGGAACAGGCTTTACTTGTTTTATAGTGTGCCCGGTTCTGAATTAGACATCTTTTATCACTCTGTTTTCCAAAGACACTTTGCAGAGAGGGCTGCTTGGAGGTTGTGTTATACCCTATATGTTATGCTGTTAATTATGTTGTTTGGCAACAAGGTGAGTCTGTCCAATTGCTCCACAAGGTTTAGTGTCTGCCTGCTCCACACAGCAGATCCATTGAGACCATTCCTTGGCCTCCAGGCAATTCCCCAACCCTCCAGCACCATCCCTGGGGTTCTTGGGTGAATCTCCTTCCTTCCTGATGGGTTTCTTGCCTCTCCTTGTAGAATTGGGCTCTTCTTGCGTGATGATAGGGTTTTTGTCAGCACAAAAACCTTAAAGTTAACCCTTATTTACAAGTAAATAATCAAGACCTGTATCTGTGCGCTCAAGCTGACAGCAAGCAGCATTTTAGAGGCAGAAAAGACCTGGTACAAGTGACTTGACGTGACCAGAGCCTTGCTGCCCTCGCCAGAAGCAGAGGATCAAAACGTCCAGGCAGGTGGGACACGAGAGCTGTGAGCAGGGTCTGATGTCCCTTCAGTCACGGAGTCCCCTGGGCTCAGGGAGACCAGGCCCAGTGTTTCTACTAAAAGGGTCTGTCTCTCTTGAAAGTCACTTCCTCGGATGTGTAGAATGATTAAGACTTTCTTTTTTCCTCTCTTATGAGAAAGAATAAAAGGAAGGGCTGCATTTTCACCTGCTTTGGTCAGCTTGGGCTAAAAGTTATTTATCCTTTTACAGATGAGCTACTGGATCTCTTGCTGTAGCAATAATCCTGTAAGTGGAACAGAAGAGCTGCCTCTTTGCAGGCACTGCACAGAGTGCCTCGCTCTTCACCTTTGCTATGTCCCCACAAGTGAAGTCTTTCAAATGTCACAGCTGAAAAATGTGACTTTTTAGAAGGCATTTAGTCACATTTGTGGCTCTGCATCCTCGTTAGATCTCTTTGCATTATTGAGGCAAGCATGGAGTGCTTGTAAAGAGGGAAGCTTGTTTCATGCTGAGGGACCCAGTGCTGTAATGACATCGCTCTCCTGCCGGGCTTGGATGCTGGCACCCCGGGTGCCTCCCAGGAATTCAGCCCCTAAAATACAGACATTACAAATGAGCATTTTATGTATTTATTTAGAATAAAAAAGGAGCAGGATTACAGTGCTACCTTCTCAGTATACAAAACATTCATCCAAGCCTGCGTCACATTTACAAAAGGTGCTGTCCACACAGCATCCATATTCACAGCAACTTTGTCGGACCTGTCCATGAACGGGGCCTCAAAGGAAGCCAGAAACTTAAGTCTGAAACCCAGATTTGCTTCCCAGCAGGCCTGGTGGCCATGAGGCCGGCCAGCTACAGCACTTGCACTCCACCATGGAATAAAAATGCATGAAGAGATCGATTAGATTAGCGGAGCAATTAAACAAAACTCCTCTCTGAGCAGTTCCAGTGGGCTGGCTCTCAGGTTTCCCCCGTTCAGGGCTGGGTTCCAGTTCAGTGTTAAGAAGGCTGCAGGGCTGCCATGCCTGGGACTCCTGCGCAGGCTCCACCCGTGCATGAATCTTCTGGGATGAAGAAACTCCTACTGCAATATTCATGTTCTGCTGGAGTCCTTGAAGGCAGGAGAGCACAGGGAATTACTCGCCTTGTCCTGAGCTGTAGTGCAGTCAATGTCACCTGTGAACAGAGGCCTCTCCAGTGACACGTGTTCAGCTGTGACGCTCCTGGGGTCACTCTCCTGCCAGGGCTTACAGGTGGCAAAACACGAGCGGTGCCAGGTCTTGAATGAAGACTGCTTAAAAACAGAGTTAGCCCTCGTGAAAAAGGGATGGAATGAAAATATTCCAGATGACACCAAGTGGCTGAGAACATCTCCAGTGTAAGATATTGGTATATATGTTGCATTATTTCAAGCTGAATATAGCTAAGGATTAATATAGGTTGTAATTCAAATGAAAATGTACCTCCTCCATTAGATAGGAAGACAATTGCTCTGCGGATTTTGCTATACATACATGCTAAATTCTAAAAACTGTGGAAAAACTATCCTGACTTGTGACTCCCGCAGAAAGCCATCATCCGTGTTGCTCAGTTCAGACTCCTGCATCTTCAGACAGGTCGGGCAGAGTCTGCATTTCCCAACCCAACTCGTGTGGTTCTTGTTCACTTGCGCGGAGGGGAAAAGCAGCTAGGCCAGCCTAGCAGGTAACAGTGAAGCTGTGAAGGAGCAGGCACCTCCACAGGGAAGTTTGTACCAGGTCTCGTTAAAGGAGGGAGGAAAATAAAAATATGTCTTGAATTCAATCAAGGTAGATTGTGTGTTTATGAGCTTGATGTAGAAAGTTCCCAAAGATGCTTCAAAAGGGAATACTAGAGAGGGACTGAGATGGAGAACTAGTATCGGTAGCTATTTTTAAGTATTCCACTTTCTTCTGGTTCATTTAGATGGTTAAAATTGGGTTCTAAATGTGACTTCAGCCATGACTAACAACACTTTTGAGCCTGAGACTCTTTACTGCTTTTATTTCCAGCTGCAAAAATAATACAAACTAGGTTAGAACTCCGTGGTAACAAGTTTTTTAGTTTGCTATTTCCTGATAAGCCCTGGACTAGTTCTAAGTACATGCTGACTAGGTGAGTGCCAGAAAGAAAGGGCAATCGAAACTCGATGGCAAGGACCAATGGCCAATAGAAAAGGCCAACAAGCCCTTTATTGTGATCACTCGTTGCAACACACATGGAGTTCTCTCTGATGCACCCAGCTCTGTTCAAGCAAAATGGCACACCTAGAAACCAGTGGTTTATTATTTGGTGGTTGTGATTTATTCTTTGCATATGTAACTGTGTCTCATAATAGCCTGGGTCTTAATATTGGATAGCTCTAGTGTAAATAGACACTTTGCTTAAATAGCAAAACAAAGCAGGGATCTGGGTGCTGATGCTCATGTCTTCCTCCTCCACTCAGGATTAAAACAGGATTTGATTAGGAAAGCCTAAGGGACAACGTGAGAGAATTCATTGGGGTGTCGCTGCAGCTCTGTGTATTGTATCAGGCATGGGACTAAACCCCACCTTCCCAGAACTGCCAGCAGTGAATCCAGAACAGATGCAGTTTCTTCAGAAGGAAATCTGCCCAGGTAAGTGAGCAGAAAGATCCAATGTGATCAATATTGGAGGTTAAATTTTACTCGTCTCAGGTATGCTATGCTACTCAAGGCCAGACTAACTAAAAATACACTTGGAGACCAGGGATGGTTTGAAAAGCAAAACAAAAAGCACAATACCTCTTTACCCGTTGTGAATGGGTCGGGGTGAGAAGTGAAAGCTTTGTGCTAAAGGATCTCCACTGGCATGCAGACAAAGCCGACACCGCTGGCTTTAAAATTCCATTCTCCCAGCAGTCATAAATCAGGTTAAATAAACTGGCAATGGTTTACTGAGTATCTACTACCTTGAAAAACAGGAAAATAAACATTAATGCTGAAAGCAGATGTACTTGCTTCTAAATATCTAAAGCATTCAACTCAGTCCAGGGAGCTGGAGAACTGCTAGAAGGAGTTGTGAGGCCTTAACCCAATGATAATGTATTAAATGTTCTGGCCAGCTGGATTTAAACACTTCAGATTCTTACTAGATCTCTAAACCAAGATCAGAGAAATGATCTTTGACTGTTTTTTTAAGCATTTGCCTGTAGTTCTGGAAAGCTCTTGCCTCTTCCATCATCAACTGGATTTTGGAACCAGAACCTTGCTGGCCAATGGGGCAGGGCTGCTTGGGCATGGACTTGCAGCTTCTAGTGAAAATGGTACCACTATTGCCATGAAGCAACCTTCTGGTGATAAAAACATCCTCCCACCACCCTGCAACCAAGAGCAGGAAGGGAGGAGAACATCAGTGCTGCTCTGGGCACAGGACTTGCCTCGAACGGGGCACCCACGGGGCCGCACGGACCTTGTCTCACGGGATGCTGTCCTGAACTACGGATTCTCTCATTGCAGACACACCAAAATCATTCCAATTTTCAAGTCACAGCAATAGAAAACTAAACATTTCTTTAATACAGTTATTGTATCACTTCCAGGGATATTTACAAAGAAGACTATTTTACAGATGAATGTGCTTATGCCGTTCTAGTCTACTATATTAATAATTAAAGCCCTATCATGCTCAACGCATGGAATACTGAACAGAAAGGACACCTGACTTGTTTAAACGTTAGCTGAAAAGAACTGCTCCTACTGAAGGTGAAGAGACATGAGGAAAATATGCATAGTCATTAAATCAAGGAAACTTAAGCACCAATCCACACATGCATTGTTGGAGACTGATACTGTCAGGAGAATTCCTTGATTTTTCTCCAATGCTAGTAAGAGATTTCACACACAAATAGAAATGTCATGAATCACAGACAGGGCCACACACTCGAGTGTCCAGACTGGGACTTCTAAGAATGCAAATACATAAACATTGGATTATTAGAGGACATGGTTTTAAGTTAGCACGACAAATTGTAGCAAACCACCATACACACTTTGGAGGAATTACTCCTCTAATGCTGCATAGCAACTTGATTCTCCTGTTCCCCAGATGAACTGGGTGCTAAAGACAAAAAGACTTTTATTTTTCCTATAGGACAGTTAGAAAGCAGAGTAAGTTTGGGGGCTCGGCCATGCTATATTATGGGCATTGATGATTAAGGCAGGTTTTTGTCAGAATAGCTTCACCAGACTCTGTAACCAACCATGGAAACTTTAGAGGAGACATTTTTTGTACAAATTTTAATTTTTTTTTTTACTGTTATTAAAGGGCAGTCAGCTGGGAGATATTAGTTGTGTATTAAATTTCTGTAAAATACCAAGAAATGTCAATTCAATTGAAAATTTTGGTAACGAAATTACACTGGAAGAAATGATTCCTGTTGGCAGAGACTTAAGTGAAACAAAAGGTACTTATATTGGCAAAAGCTAGGAAGTGGTTAGAAATTATTCAGAAAAGGAAAGCAAGGTAAGCGACTTAAGAGCACCAAAAATTATACATATATATATATATTAGTATTCAATCTAATTGCTAATAGTTTAATAATTATTATTTAAAAATTCTTCTTACTCATCCATATTTGACCCAGGCAGGTAGTGTTAGCCTTCTGGCTGAGACACTGTTACAACTGTCAAGAAATAGTAGAGTTATTCTTTTAGACTTTAAATGAAACTAATATAATGGCCAATTTCTTTCATGTGGCTCTAAGTGGCATATGCTTTACTCTGCAAGAAATCACAATCACAGATTATTTTGAGTTTAATATTCTGCAGCAAGGGCCCGTGCTTGTTAACAAGCAACAAACAGCACGAGTTGAAGCCTTCTCTACCCACCAAAGTATCTGAGAGGCAGCTCCTCTGTTCTCTTCTGCCCTGAAGGAAATCATGCAGGTGCCAGGCAGAAAGGCCAGTTCAGACTGAACGCTGGAGACTGCTGCTCCTTTTCGGTAAAAGGACGTGTCCAATTCACTGCTGATGCTCCAACAGGGTGTTTCCAAACTGCTTCATGAACTTGGGTTTTCTAGATGTGCTCCTGTTCCTGGAGCATGGATCAGGCTCTGGATGAAGGATTTTCTGAATCCTCCACTGTTCTATTTACAGAATTGTGGACAGTGTCTTTTCTCTTCAGTAAAGCGCCTACTCCTCCACTCAACACCCATCAAGATGGAAGGAGCCTCTGTGGTACAGAAAATACTTTGAGTCTTTACACAGCTTTTCTCTAAAACACAGGAGAATCACAGAACGTACATGGACCTTGCAATAACCTCTTGATCCATTCAGGATCTGGAAAACAAAAAACAAACCAAAACAAAAACCACTTAAGCTGGAGGTCAAGATAAAAACAGGAAAGACATTAAGTTAGGTAAGAGAGCTGAAGCGGGTCGGAACCGTTTACCTTCTGGGGTTGGATGTCGTGCGATGCTGTCATGAAGCAAACACCTTCTGTACACCAAGCTTTGGCAGGATTGGTAGGTTAAAAAGCACCTGTGAAAGAACAATTTGTATGGTTGGGTATTTGTCTCCTGCTCCTGCGCTCTGACTGAAGCTGGATTTTATTCCCAGGAACCCTTGTTTCCCGAGAGTGAGGGCAGTAAGGAGCCATACAAACACCAGAATTTAAATAACTAGAGTATATAAAACTCCCAAGTATGCCCAATTATGCACGACTTCGTACGCAGAAAAAGCCAAAAATCAACATACTATGGAAAAGACCAGCGTCTTCACTGGCAACATGCAATGAAGAGGGGGAAATGTTTGAAGGTTATCGTGCAGGGAAAGCACTGATGCATCTTTAACTGAAGGTAGTGACTACCTGGTGAAAATAGCACGTGAGATCTGCTAGGTAAAATTTACATGGTAATTCCTTTTAAGTGTAGGACTACTGACTTATTGAGTCTTTATGGACAAATTGCCCACATCAATATATCGGTGTTGAAAGATTTCCTTTCCCAGATGTTCCAAAATGTGCCTGACTTCTCAGCATAGTTCCTACCGATTGCTTTTTGTTAAATTGATTTGTGTGCTGGCTACTTTAGCATTTGAAAACGCTCTCTCATCTGCTATTCCAAAGGATTGCTTGCACTTCATTTTTTCCCTTCTACTTTCTCCCGCTCCACCCTCCCACTTGAAGAAAGATTTTGATGATCAAAGGCATTTTATCATGAAAACATCATCCCAAGAAGCTAACCAAGTTCAGTCTAGGGTGCCGCCCCTCTCAGGGGATGATCTGGCCAGCAAAAAAGTGCAATTAACTGCAGCATGGATTACATGCTTCGTGCCTTTTTTACTCCCACACTAGGAAAATGTTTTAGGTTAGCTATTTAAATGCAAGGAATCTATCCAGAGGAAAGAGGAGAAGGGCAAAAGCTCTTAAAGAAGAGATTACCTGAGCCAGATATGTCCATTGGAGCAAACTGCCTGTTTGCGATCAGTGAACGGCAGGATCTCTTTACACAAGCTGCAGTGCTCTGGGAAAGTCTGCTTGTTCATTTTCTTTAAGATGTGCCCAATCAGCACCTGGGAAGACACAGCAGTCAGCGCTGTCTATTGCAAGAGAACTGCTTCCTGAAAGGTGAAGTCTCTCAGGTTACTGTGATTTCGGAATATGATACAGGATGCAAAGATCTATCCACTTCACTGCATGAAAACACAAAAATCTAAGCCCAAGGAGTTGGACTACTTTCTTTTTTCATGTATTCCTTATGATTTCTCTGTTCTGCATTGAAGGGTTACAGAACTTGAGAGCAGCCCTAGGTTAGGCTAATTGCAAATTTAAAAGCATGGGAGAACCAAATATCATCCCACCTTGGAGAATGCCAGTGAGCGTTGCAGCAATGCTTTCAAATTCTCCTGCCTATTACAGTGGCTATACCCCCAAAAATCCTGTTTGGAAGATAGATGGGTGAATGTCTTTAATAGTTACCTTATAAACTTCATTTTATATGTGTGTGTGTGTGTGTGTGTGTGTGTGTGTGTGTGTGTGTACACACACACATACTCTAGTAGAACACATTTATGCAATCAAATTTATTACTTAAATGTCTTGGATGTTTCAGGAGATACAAACCACATCCCAAGCACTGTTAAACTGTGGCAGCTAGATGAAATAGAATTTGAAAGTCAGCTTTCAAATGGGTTTACAAGGAAATATCTTGTTTACAAGGTAAGAAAAGCAACCTCAAGCCTTCATAATTCATAATAATAATTCATAATAGCTGGAGGATCCTAGAAAACACAGCACTTCTGCCAGGGTCCTTGCACTACCAAGGACCACACAGCTGTGGCCTGCTTGCCTATGAGCTCAGCAGCAACAAACACATTACATCAGTGATGGACATGGTGCTTGTTTCCTCTGTTCCTTACCAGATCCAATACAAAGGTGGATTTCATTTTCAGATTCCAAGTGATTCAAGGATTCAGGTACTGGAAAGAACTCATCTCTATTCATACAAAGAGGTACAAATAGAGACATGTGACACATTCCTGTCCTTGAATCTTAACAGCCGGGAGCCTCGTAGCACAATTTTCTCAGTGAAGGTACCTTTGTCTGACATCTGTATTCGAAAGCTCCATTGTTCCATGCAGGATTCACTGGTCACCCATTTCTGCCACACTTTTGCTCTATGCATTGCAGCAGTTCGGGGGTTGTGCTTGCAGTGGTGCTTTTAGTTTGGTAATGGTGTTGCAAGTATGGGAAGCATTCGTGTCCCCACCAAGCATTCAGTTACGCCTGTTTTTCATAATATTTGTAATTTTTCAGTAAATGCCTGCAGGTTCAGGCTATAGATCTACGTTTCATAAAACAAAGACATTGAGTCAACTGGCTACTTCCAGTCCTGCGTAAAGTCACAGGATTTACCTCGTACAACACAATCACCTTCTGAATTTCTACAACTCGTCTTTTCTCTGAAGGTTAATGCAACACTGACAAGCATAGACGTACCAGCTGTCACAGCATTTTCAATTGAACAACTTCGAAATTCATACTGTAACTCAGAAAAAAATGCAATTGCAGGTATAACTGACTGAAGGAAATATCTCCCAAGCTCAGTTCTGTACACTGATATATTTAAGTAAACTTAACCAGAGAAACTGATAATCTTTTCAACCAGTTCTTTTCAACTAAGCTCATTAAAAGCAGTGAATAAACAGCAGTTCTCTCCCACACTCTACAAAAATCTTAGGCAAGTTTACTCTTTATTCCCCTTTACCTGATCAAAACTTCCACAGCTCTATTGGCATCCCCTCCACCCCAATTCCAAACTGCAAGAAAGGAGAACTTAAGCTGGGTCCTCTGCAGAAGCTGACCTGAAAGCACTACGTGATTATGGCCCTTTCTCCCACCACCCCCAAATTACGTTTCCATGAGGGATGCAGAGCAGGGAAACAGCAGCAGCTCGTGACACGGAATCCCCATCACACAGAGGTGCACTTACGCGTGCTGTTCTGTCCTCATAACCTTCATCGGACATTAAGAAGTCACAGACTCCTCTGGTGGGAATACTGGTGTTTTCTGTAATCCAGGTGTGCAGATAAACTTCTCCCAACACTCGTTTCATGTGTTCTCGCGTCAAGTGCATTTCTACTGCCTCTATTTGCGCCTGTATTTCAAGAAGTTTTTCTTCCATTGGTTCACGGCCTCCCACGTCACCCGACTGAGGAAGAGAATCCTCTGCAGTGTCATCCACGTCCATAGCCTTGCCTGTGTCGCACAGATTCTGCTTGCTGGCTTGTTTAGAAGTTCCCTCATCCTGATCATCTTCAGTGCTGCCCATCCCAGGCGAGTCCGATATCAAGATTTTTGCCTCCTCGTGGGAAGGTCTCCACATGACCTCGGAGGGAGCCTTCTGCATTGACTGGTACAGAATTCTGAGCAGAAAGAGCTTAAACCGCCAGAAGTAGGTAGAACCACAGCTCTCAATCTTTTTATCCAGTGCTTCCTGCAAGAACTGAGGAATATGCTTATCCTTCAAAATTTTCCAGCGCACAAGATCTGTCAGGTCCACCTGCCGGAAAAGATTCTGCACGGATGATTCCAAGAGCTGAGCAGCCGCCTCCTCAAATGTTTTAAGCGTTACAAACTGCACTTGATAGTTTTTGTTTACGGGGTGAAGACCGTTAGTCATGCCCTCCGTTGTAATAACTGCTAAGTAGGCACCACACGGGCTAACAGCTATTCCATGAGTCCTTACAGAGCCAAACACTTCGGAGAGCTTAATCAGCTGGTGCTCAAACTTTAAAGCAACGTCTGTGAATATAGGGATCAGCTGCCTTACCTTTCCATCGCTGGAGCAGGTATACACCGTGCCGTTCTGTTTGTCTGCAGTCATAGACACAATTGGCAGAGAATGAAGTCCTGTAACATGGGAATTGTGGACATTCAAACCTGCTTTGGATATCAACAGAAGACACCAGAACACGTAAGGTCCTCTTGCAGCCACCACCAAGCTACAGCTACATTTCTGGTACGGATGGTAAAGAGGAATGCATTTGATACTCTGCACTGGCAACTGGTCCATTTCTTGCCACAAAACTACAGGCTGTCTCAGCGTGAAGTAGCCCTTAACTGCCTTTAGATTGACAGGAAGGATTTTGACTGGTCCAAAAGCACTCCCTACAATGAGTCCGCTCATTTTCCGGTTGTTATGTTCATATTCCCACCAAGACAAGACACTCGGAGAACTAATTCCAGACTCTATGGTATTGCAAGAAGTAATTGATTCCTTCCCCAAAAACGGCAGCTGAAACTGCCAAACTGCAATGTTCCCATTTTCAAAGAGCACTGCTAAGAGCACGCTGCCAACATCCCGGCATTCGTTGTTGTGTTTAACCTGCTGCGTGGTGCAGATCCCGGACCACTCCATGCGCACCGGGGTCTGCATGCTGTGCCGCCGCTGGAATTCAGCAAAGTCTCCTAGTTCTGCCCTGGGAGCATCCACCTTGGAAAGTCTGTAACTGGCTTCGTACAAACGCTCCCCGTAAACTTCCGTCAGGTCGACCAAGTGCACCCACTGCAGCCTGTTGAGGTTGGCGTGGATGGTCAATCGATTGTCCATGGTTAAAGCTGCAAGCAGGCACCTCCCGTTCGCGTCGCAGCCCAGGGGTGACCAGCTGGAGTATTTGAATCCTCGCATAGGCGGCAGGGACTTTCCTTCAGGATTAAATACTCTATCTAACATAAAAGCTTGACTAACCGTTGGATCCACAGAACTTGCAAACTTTTCCTTACATTCTGCTACTTCCTTTTTTGGACCAACCTGAAAGACAACAAAAGGAAAACTCTTAAATAAGCTGCAGCATGTTATCCTAGGAAGACTTTCCTGGATGATTCCCATTTGGAATAGAGCATCCTCCCCTACAACGTGTACTAAGGTGTTCCAGTGGTTAAAATGACCTCAATGTTAAAGGCTTAAGCTTCACTGTTGGCCTGAAACTGTCCAGTTTTGACTTTCAGCTGTCAAATCTTTGTCTACTAGGCTGAAAGGCTCTTCTTCTACTTGCCTTTTCTCAACCACGTTCTTCAGGAGTCTATAATAACATTCAAATCGTCAAGCGACAATATTTTATCTCAAGTTATTCTGTGTTATCATGGTGGTTTGGGGAAAGAAGCTTCAGATCCACAACAGCATCTTGTTTTCCCATGCTTTTAAAAGTGAGTAACTACGGGGCATTTAATAGCTGAGGCAACTGCACTGGCGAACACCTTAACCTCACCATTAGGCCTCCTGTTGCCCAATGTACTCATGTGTTCTATGCTTAGTTAAAACAACCAACGAATGTGTTTGGTTCTTGTGCATGAGACACCTTAAAAGATTAGCACAGATCAGGGGAAAAGCTTTTAACTTCACTGTCCATTTTTTCGGGAACGTTGCCCGGGATGTGCTCATGAAGATTAGCAGCCTTGATTAGGCTGCCATTGCCTTTAAGTTCGTGTGTGTTTCAAGCAGGGTCCCCACACTCCCGGGGGGGACACACGGCGCTGTCACCTTAGAGAAGCCTTAGAGAAACTCGTTTATTGTGCCCGGGGGGAGGGTGTCGCGCTACGGGGGCGAGACGGGAGCCTCGCAGCAAGTGGCCTCGCGTCGCCGTCCCGGCGGGGACCCGGGCCCGGCTGCGCCCCGCGGTCCCGGCTCGGTGCCGGCCTCACCTTGAGGCGGCAGGCGGCGGCGGGCGCGGGCACGGCCGTGCGGTGGATCACCATGTCCTGGGCGCCGCTGTGCACGTCGCTGAGCTGCTCGAGGACGGCGATGCTGCGGGCGGTGCTCACCGACACCCGGTGATCCTCGGACCAGGCGAGCGGCTCCAGGCCGCTGGCGCCGTGCTGCAGCCGCACGGTGGGCTCCCGCCGCAGCGCCGTGAGGCGGAACCCGGCGCTCGGCCCCGCCGCCTCCTCGGCCAGCGCGTCCAGGGGCAGGAGCGGCGGCGACC